GTAAGCGGGCCGTGAAGGGTATAAAGTAAGTAACTTTAGGACCTGATATTTAAAGTGGGATCCTTCACAGTTACTTAAATTTTCAAATATAACTTTAAGTATGGTAGTTATTTCTGCACACTCGTGAGAAACGTAAATTCAACTTCCGGATTTGGTAAAATCTTTTTCCGCTTATTTAAATAGATTGTTCTTGTGAAACCGAAAAACAGTAAAAAATTAACTAACGTTTTACAGAGGAAACTTTTCTGTACCTCCCCGAATTAAAATCTAATTCGTTAATAGATTTTATATAGGGTATTTCTCTACCTAACCACATGATTTCTTCGATATTAGTACTCTCTCTGAATGTTTGGCTGTTACTAGAACACCATATACAAACTCGTCCGGAGCAAGAGGTGGTAACGAAATCTCCTTAAAAGTTTAGCCAAGTTATTAAATCTATTAAAAGGCGATCTAAACAACCCTTTCTACTAACGTCAGCAGTTTTTAAATTCGCCAAAATTATCTTTTTATCATTTATATTGAGAGTAACGCACCGACATCACAGTTGCCTTAATAGCAAAGCCAGAGCTCTCGCGGCCTTATAAAGTCCATGGAAAAGCATCGCTAAAGCTACCATGTGCGGTGATGCCTATAAGCATAAATGACAGTATACGAATATTTATAAAAATGTTGAGAACTTTACTAGACTGGAACACAAAATTTCTTAGATCACTGCCAACGAGTCTATTAGGGTGAGAGTGGCGTAATCAGCGGGAGAGATTTTTCCTATAACCCAAAATGAAAAACTTTTACTAATGGGGCACAGTTTTATTATTACTTTCCCTTTACAAAAATTTATGAAATACTACGGTCCCTAGGGTCTTTCAATATTATTCTCTAAGTGCAAGGATAACTTTTTTTGAATGTATATTACGTAAAGTAACTTAAAGAAAAGCGCATATGTTAGTGCATCTTCATAAACAAAACGTTTAAATAATCCCCTTAATTAGCTTATCGTCCTTTAATTTTCTACTACGCCAATATGGACGCCTACTCTAATAAGAGAAAAAATCATGCTTCAAGTCCTTTATAATTACCTTCACTGAATTACATTTAGCGTACAAGGATATTACTTTCTGACAAACCTTTTAACTCTGTAAAACGCTCAAATCAACTACTTTTTATTTTTTTTCCTAACGAGATAAGTAAATATATTAACTTATAACTAAAGCGAGCAAGGTTTTTCTTCACTTATAAAGCGCGAAACAAAGCTTCACTTCTTATTCGCTGGCTCTTTGCGTTTATGTTTCATGATTGCTGATCTTTCAGCTTCAATTGAGAGTTTTCTAATAACTTTATATATATTTTTTAATGGACGAAGACAAAACTCTGGGTAAATTTTTTTAAGATTTTACTGAAAGATTTTACCTATTTTAATTTTTGTATATATGATTTAAATCTTATTTGTTTGTATTTTTAAAAGTATTATTGAAATCCTCAGAGCAGCGGTTGCCAAAGGTTATTACTTAATTAAACTTATTTACCTTAGAATCATTTCTTATTTCTTTTTCTAGGCCACTACAGAAAGTGAGGACTGGGATTCTGATTTAATTAGTACTGTGGATGACATTTCTTCTTTTGAGAGTAACTCCCTTAAACACGTGAAGGCAATGATGGTTTTTCTTATTTCAATTTTAGATACTGACATATAATATTATTAAATAGTTGATCTAAGCACAATAGGTTTTTTATATTTTTAGCTTAATACTCCCTTTGTACTTATGTCAAAAAAGTCAGATATAAAGCATAATACTACCATAGATATTATCTTTTTTTATTTTTAAAGAAATCGAAAGTGACTTTGATGCCGGTCAATCTGCATTTTCTCCGTTGTTAGAAGGCTGCTTTAAGAAATTAAGTTTCTGGTTGCTTTTATAATTTCTAGCTTTAAAACATTTTTTTTTTTAAGGAGTTTATTTTTTTGTTAACATTATCATATTATTTTTATAATGAACATGCTTGTCATTAATTTTTTTAATATGAAAATCATTATTGGTTGGCAGATAGAACCGCATCCCCTGCGGCTTACATCGCGTGACGCCCAGTCAAAAAAGAACTTCAACTTGAAAGTCCGTCAAACTACAGGCAACGAAGATTTAACTCGCTCAGAAGAGTTTGGCCAGTCAATTGCTTCGTGGCATTTGACTATTGGTCGGTACCTACGCATTACTTCACTTCTTGCACGGAGAGAGTTTTTGACAGCCTTTCGGTTGGAGGTGGTATATAACAAATTTCTGCCCAATCAGCAGTTAGACTCATTTCATTGGGAGCGGCAGGGTATGTGAGCAAGAAGAAAAAGACTTGATATCCCTCCAGTTTCAATCTTGCAGGGCCAAAGAGAGCAGCAGCGACTTTAATAATGATGATGATAATAATTACAAAAATAATAATGAAAGTATTTATTATAATAAAGAAGATAATAATAATTATAATAGTAGTATTAATAATAATGAGCCTCCGAAGGATAGTGATAGCAGCCTCGACGAACTCCGATTGGTGTTTTCTGAATTATTAATTGTTTTGCTGGCCCGCTTGTCCCCAAAAAGAGCTCCTACCAACCGAGTTTGTTCATCTTTCATTATTATTTCCGCCTTTTTTAGTTCTGAAGGTTCCTCTAGTCGCACCTTGTCCTAAATCAGGGTCCTACAGAGACTCGTCTCTCGGCTCTTTCTTCTCCAGTATCCTTTCACATTCTCTCAAAAAGCAAGACTCACTGACTGCGCCGCGATTGCTGCCGGACAGCTCTGACTTGAACATTTTTTTTAATATGTGCCATTGGAATGGTGGTTCTCTCTATCTTTACAAGCCGCTGGTTATTAGTGCAAGCCACGTGTTGCTGTGCACCCCATCGGATCTTCTCCGTCTTCATCACCCCACCGATCACGTAGTTTCCCGGTTTACGCTTTCTTCGCTTTTGGTCCAACAAGACGGCATGATGGTCCGCTCCACCGCCTCCCTTATGGAGAAAATAAAAAATGTTCTGTGAAAAGTTAGTGCTTATTTATTAACCTTCATGGTAATGTTATTATCCCCTTTTACTAATGAAAAGGCCCAAAATTTTTTTCATTGTGCTGGAGCTCGTCTTCCTCTAATTCAGTACTTTTCTTTCCTTTTCCAATTTTTACATTTAAAGAATGGCAGTATTTAACAAGAGTTACTACCACAAACGAGACAAAAAGCGAGATGCACACTTTTTTCAACGTTTTATTAGCGACTTCACGTGTTAGTGCCCTTTTTTATTATCTTCTAATTTCTTGGACTCTAATTTCAACCGCCCAATTTCATTGGTTTCTAAAGATATCGATCCGAGGTCGGCTCGGTCTTCTCAGCTAATGAGCGAAGTAGCGCACGACCGGGTCTTCTCTTCTGGCACCCCCCTATGAGTTTTTAGTGCACACGGAAAAAAGAAAAGCCGCTACAATTCGTACAAAAAGAATTTTTATGTGCAGAAGTACATCCACTTTGTCGACTGCGCGGGAAGTTCAGGTAGTGCTAATATTAATAAACGCTAAGGAAATTTTGTAAGCAGTAGCTCCCTACACCCGCCAGCTGTCCGCCATGGCCACGTGTTGGATGAAATGAGGCAGCACATGGAAGGCTTTCAACACGCAGTCTTACTGCTGGTCTATGCGGAGGCGCTTGATCTTAACACCTGGGCAGCCGACCTTGCGTCTGCCTCTGCGGGCTTGGCGGCTGGATGTCCCGGGCTCTCTTTCACATGCTTATTTATTCCGCAATCTAAGAAGTCGTTCCGATGCATCATGAAGAAGCTTCAGTATTTCCATTCCCTTAAAGAAATGGCCGCCAACGACAATTCTTTGGTGCTGCCTTTTTTATTTGCCGCTGTTCAAGAGGTTGATCTCCTTTTTTTCACTGTATTTCGTGAGGAAGACATACGATTGTTTAAGAATTTTAAGTAATACTTATAATTTTTTCAGCTCCGCAGTTATGTGGGTGTGCCAGTAGTAATGCTTCATCCCTGCTATCTTTGAAAATTATGAATTCACTGAATGTATTTTTGTATGGCTGGCTAAAGTATTGTATTAATAAAGTGCATACCCCATTTCTATACTTCAATCAGTATTTTGGTACTAACTAGGCATAATTGGGCGAAGTTAGCCGTATATATAAGCAAGGAAATGCATTAACCAATTATTTTGAGCTTGTTACGTACGCATCACTAAAAATAGCGAATGCTTTAACAAGTCAGTTATAATATTTACTTGGCGCTAGTAAATTTCGGAAAAATGAATTGTAATTATTAACGATTTTACTGGTCGTATAATTATTTAATGGTTCATAAAAAAATAGTTAAAAATTAAGAGCCTTAAAAAAAAGTTTTCGAATAAACTTATTATTATAGATTTCTTAAAAGCCAATCAAAAATTTTGTTCTACTTCGTGACTGGGAGAAGCTGAAGCTGAACTTAAAGTTTCCGGGGTTCTCCTTTAAATGCTAAGCACATCTTAACCGGATCTATATTTTTTAATTAGAAAATATAGTAGCTATATATTAAATTATAAAACACAAGAGCTAATTATATTTTTTGGAAATTTAAATTTTAATAAAAAAGTTAAGTTTGTTATAAAGTTCCTTTAATTCTTTTAAGAAAAGGTGAATTGCCTACTATGACCCCGACATAAAAATCAATAAGAATTGTGTGTTCGGCAGTTGAGTATAAGTGTAACCAATAAAAATTAACGTATTTAAAGTTGAGCAGAAGTCAATGCCAGATTAACTAGCCCTATAAAATTCTCAGTAAATTTTTTTTGTAAGTGCCGAATAAATTTATGAACACTTTAAGCTTCACTACACCTGCTTTAGTTAAATTTCAAAAGCTATGTTTGATTACCAGTATATATAAATTTTTTTCTACATAAGTAACAAAAAGGGCAATATTATATCATATTTGCTTTTATTTAAGTATTCTTGTTATAATTTACAAAGATTTATTAATTTGTCATTCTAGCAATCCGATAACACTTTTCAATAAATAGCTGTAACTTTTCAGGATTACTTCCAGTAAAACTTTCAAGCACCTTCAAGCCTTTAGAAGGCGTTTTAGAAAATAAAGAAAAAATAAAAAAAATTATAGTGGGCGACTGAATTTAACCAATTAGAAAAGAACGGAAATTATTATATCAAAAAGAAAATTCTGTTAATAAGAATTATAAACATAAACATTTGTTCTTCAATAGTGCCATAAAGCCTTTTGCCTTTAATAGTACACTATACGAGTTAAACAAGAACTTCTAAAATTCTTTAATAATCTCTATTGACCCTTTTATATCTAAAAAAATTTTAAAGTATGTAAGGCCAATTCTAATAGCCTTCAAATAAAAAAATCTATATGAAACCAAAGAGAATTCTGCTAACTAGAGAGTGAGTTGAGTAGATATTAAATTAAGTTCACTAGGAAGAAAGACGATAAAAAATAAAAATGAGCTTAAAATCAATTGTCCTATAAATTGATAACCATCAAAAAGACGGAATTCGGGAATTACTGAGATGCCCTGAAATTGAACGGAAGAAAAGTCCCCTGCCAAATCAACTTCTACAAACAAAACACTTTCCTTATAAGCGAAGGCTTCAACAACATTAACAAACATGTTATTAAAATTAATGTTGTAATCCGTATTCACATATATACCGAGAGTCTCGAAGGTCGGAGATGTTTTTTTACAAGGTTCGCAAAATTCAGAACCAAACTTTACTATGGCCAATTTATTATAAAGTTCTTAACTCGAAAATATATTCCTAAGCTTAAGTTATATACAATTACGAATAAATAAAAAACCTTTTGCAGAGATCAGGAGCAGCTCAAGTTCATCCTTATTTATAGGCTTCAAAAGAGTGCCTAAGTTGTGTTGTTCCGCCAATAAAGTATTTAACTCGGCTTTACGTAAAGCATGAATATTTTAAAAAGACTAACTCTTAAAAATTACGTTAAAAAACAAAATAATTAGTAAAATAAGTTTTCATTTATTTAATAGCTACTTTAGTAGTTAATAATATGAAAGTACCAGAAGAACGTGGTTTGTAAGCATTGCCGAAAAAGAATATTGTAAGTCGTTTGTAAGAAAGAAGAAATGCTAGCCAAATGGACTTCAGTTTACGCCGAAATACTTCTGGTGTTAAGTTCCACAATGGTCTTAATAGTACCATAACAAAAGGGACGGCAACATTCCAAGGAATGCAAAAAGTTCCTAAGCATATACAAGGCATTTTCAAATTTTACGACACCATAAAGTAAATTTTAAAAATATTTAAAATTTTATTGGCTGACTCTGTAAAAAATAAGCCAATTACGTAAAACTTCACCCTTCACCGAACTATGACGCTATGAAATTTTGATTAGACTTTCAGTAAACCGTTTTACAGTACTTGCGTTGTTCAGAGATTAGGCGTAGTGCATAAAATCGAAAGAGGGTTGTGTCGTTTGTTAAAATTATCTTGACACTAATAAAACAGATTTTTAAAATTGAGGCTTATAAAAGAAACTTGCCTGCGCTAGAAGAAAGTGCGTATGTAAACTTATTTAAACATTACAAGTACGCAGTGGTTAAGTAAGGATATATTATAGTATAAATAGTTCACTTAATAATACAAGTAGTATTAATACACTTTTACATTTTATATAACTCAAGAATTAAATAAGCAATGAGCTTTTCTAAAGTTGTTAGAGAATTAAGTCAATAACACGAATAGACTTAAAAAAAAGTTTTTTTTTTTGATTGAGGCTTGCTTTGGTTATATAGTTCGTCAGAGATTCCTCACAGCTAAGATGGTATTTCTGTTTTAAACTGTGTGTGTACTGTGGAGGTTGACCACTTAGAGGCATACCAATTAGTGTTGTAAATGGGAGGGGGATGTGCACCTTCCATTTCCAAAGGCGTTCGATGAAAGAAGCAAGAACTACAGGAACTTAATACCCCGAATGGACCTAGACAAAATTCTCGTCTCTGACTCATCTAAAGGAATGTAATCGATTTAAAGTACCTAACTATTCTGTTTACTTGTGCGACAGGGGGGAGCCTGAAGGTGGAGGCGTAGCTGTCCTAGTTCTAAAGAAACGTTACTCACCAAGAGCTCTATTTTTTCGACATGGTAAGGTCTTTCGGCTTGGATATAGAGCTCTGTTACAAAGGGAATCGATTTAATTACCGCTTATAAATTACCTGATATGGTTATGCATAAAATTGATGTCGATAAGATTTTTGCGGATTCTTCCAGCATTTTAATAACGGGAGATTTTAACTGTAAAAGCCCTTTATGGGAGAGCAGGAGGGCGAACGCCAATGGCAAGAGGTCTGCCGAAATAGCCAACCCAACGCATCACCCAGTATAAGGGGCTTGTGACGTTTTAGATATTAAGGTAACACAAAATATCTACGTACTTATCACCGTCAATACACTATTTGAACTCTCTTCTGAGCATAACCCCACCTCTTAGAGATAGGAGAAGAGTTGGCCTCGAGTACTTTGGTTAAGGTAACTAGTTGGCCAACATTTCGGAATCACTAGACAAAAGCATAGATTCCATGACGTCCACCGTTGAGAAAGCCCATGATTCAGACGCGGTTGTTGTGCAAATGGGAGCGATAAAGGAGGCCTATAGTAGGCCACTTCATTTAAGAACGCAAAAACCAGCAGTATGACCTACCAGACCATATCAGATCGCTAGTTAAGAGAAGGCGAAAATTGAGGGCAAGATATATGAACTCTGGTTTTTCAGGCGGTATGAAAGCTTTTTTTTCTACAACAAAATCAACACTCCAGTTAAGAGGAATTAAAAGCTCAGTGATGGCGCAATGAAGATCGTTAGTAAAGTTGTGGCTTCCGCGCCCTCAATTAATAGAGGAGATTAAGCAGTAACTGTTAATAAATCACTCCTTTGGCAAGCCATTGCTATAAATAAATAAAAAAACCTTTTTTTTTCATTTCATTTTGTTTGTTTATTTTAAGTGTTGCTTGTTGTGATCCTGAACACCTCAGCGGTTTTCAAATAGATTATCATACAGTTTTTGTGCTTACGATAAACCTGTTATATATCTTTGTTTCTCTATAGTACATATTTCTCGTAATGTAAAGTATGTAAGATCTATAACTTGATAACTTTCAAGATGTTTGAGGAGTACAACACGCACCATATCAAGTGAACAAACCGAAAAAGAAGTAAAAAAAGGGTGCTATGCATTTACCGCAATCTTTTGTTCACTAATTAGTGTGTTTTGGATTGGGTCAACCCCCACATTACAACATATAGCTACTAAAATAGAAAAATCTAAGTTTGCAATTTCGTAACCTATCAATTTTTTTTAAAAGAGTAGCAAGCTTTTATTTACATGAATTCGGTTCTCCTACCTTAAACCTCGATAAAATAGGCCAGTATGAGTTCTCATTCACACACTACTGAGCCCCCCACTAGTTGTTAAAGAACTGCTTAAAAAGATTCGCTCTTGAGCGTTAAAAAGAGTGTATAAGCCTATTTTTCTCTTTTAACACGATCTGGCTTACATAATATATTAATTTTTGATTGCTGCTACCACACTTGTAATTTTTTTGTCAATATTATCAAAAAAAAATTAATTCTTCTTCAGAACTTGGTATATAACCACTTTTTCTAAGGGCAACTTTTTTACTACTTTTTCTATTTTCTTTAAACATGTTATGACTTTCGGTAATGGTATTTTTCATTTTCTATTGCTTCATAAGGTCTTTATGTCATTGACCAACAAAATGATTACCTTTTTTTATGTATTTAGATATACACTTACTATTTTTGCTTTAAAAACACTTTTTTTTACTAAATTTTCTGTTACAACTTCTCTATTCAAGAAGTATAAGCTAAATTATAATATAAATTTTACGAATTGCAGTTTTTGGTGCTTGAACTAGTTAACAACTCTGAACCCTCGAGCAATAACACATGTTTAAGCACATCATCTAGTTCCTTCGCGTTTGAAGCGGAGTCTCAATTAGCATTCAACTACCACACAAAGTGTAACAACCCTAAAGGAAATTATTTCATTGAAGACGGAAGGGCGTTGCGCACTCAGGGTTAAGTGTAAATAGTTAGTAAAATTATGTTTCATGACAAGTATAGAACACAGAAACAAAAGTATCTGAACTAAAAAAAGACCAAGACCAAGTAACCACAAAAACTAGTTGAAGAATAAGAATAAAATTAAGAATAAGAACAAGGAGAAGAACAGGCCAAGGGGCGAGATCCAACCAAAAAGGGAATAAACGAAACCCAAATTTTCCCCCTTACCTGATGAAGTTCATATAAATATGTGAGTAATGTAAAAAATATTTAAGCGGGCTAATCATGAGGGCAAAGGGCATAGAAATAGAAGGGTATAGTACAGTATTATACAAAGAGTGAGTCAGGAGTGCGGTAGTATTGTGCGCGTCATCCTCCTAAGCGTTTTTGCTTTCCTCCAGTTAACGATGATTAGCGTTTCCATCTATCCCTCTCTAAAGTGAGAGGACATGGCTTTCATAGAGTGTATTCAGCTTCTCAGCCCTGTAGTTCGGGGTGCAAAATATCATTGCTTAAAAAACGCGGTGCGTTTGCTAGAAAGCGCAGTAATTTGTTTTAGCGCACTCGCTGAAGTCATGGGACGTAAGTCCAAACAGAAATTACGTATAGCATGATCAGCCTTCGCTTATGCCACGAGAAAAGATTACCTTTAGTTACACAATAGGGGAATATAGCGCCTGAATGGCTGCCTTGACTTTTACCTCCGCCACCTAATTCACGTGCAAACACGATATTTTAGCGTCACTTGATTTTCCATGCCATAAAGATTTTCGACGTTGCATTTTGAAAACTCTGCTATAAATATCTTGATGGAAGTAGCATTTAACTGGTCCTTGTGACATGGTGAGGTTAATCCGAAAAAGAGTGTCACGCCAGTGGGAATCGAACCCACGACCTTGAGTATATGCATCAACTCTCCTAACCGCTGCTACGACAACAACTCTCGATCCCGGTATGTTGGTACCTTGTGCTTTGTCACAAAGCTGTTAACAACTTGAAAGGAGTGCAGGTGACCCCAATATATTTTTTACTGCTTATGCTGAAATATTTTTTTAGCATCCTAATCAACTTAATTTTACTTATTTTTAAATATATCTGAATGTATAATTGTACATTTTTAATGACGTTTTTTTGTTTTTAATGAAGTTAAAAAAAATTTATGCCAACCTGTAAACTTTAAGGTCAAGTATATCACCTTGTTAGCTTGCTAAAGCTTTTTGGTAAGATAAAGTTTTTAAAATATCACTTCATTAGAACGTTCTAAGCTATTGGTCTCTGGAATGGTAAATGAACAGGTTTGAAACTTAATTAATTATTAAACTTTGCTTATTAAAAGCAAATTAATTTTTTATTATTCGGCTCGGAAAAAAAAAAATTACAACACAGATAGAAGTTCAAATAAGACAATTAATTTAAACTTCCTTATTATTTGCTGGTAACATTTTTCTTAATAGAGAGTTTAAAAATACCTCACGGCAAATAACTGAGATCTATAGGTCATTCGACAGCCTTTAGAATATAACTAAACTGAAAGAAAATAAAATTTTAGTTTGTGGTTTAATTTTTATTTACGGAAGACTCCTTTATAAAAGTTAATAGGCTTTAATAGACTATATTATTTAATACCTTTGACTATTTTTTGACTTTTGTTGAGCGTACAGACTAGACAATTTCAGGAACTAATATATTATAAACAAGTTGAGGTAATATGTTAAATTATAACACAAAGAAATATAATATAGAGTTAGTTAAAATTAAAAAGCTGTAATTTTATTTAAAGACTCCCGAGTCGCCTGGGTGGCACAACGCTCATTACCTAACAAACTCTGACATCAACAACGACGACAGAAAAAGGAAAAAGCGCTATGCTCACGACATCTTTTAACCCCTTATAGGTTACTGGTATGTTTACCACTTGTCCTAGGTTCAATTTGCAAGAGTAGGTCTATGAAAATTACCCTAGACGACAGGCTCGTTCTCTGAAACAATCTCTGTTAAGTTTGAGTACCATGTTCTTGAGGATTAGGCAGCAACAACAAAAACAAAAAAAGTGGTAAATTTAGTTACCCGTGAACGTAAAACAAATCTATTTTAAGCCCCCTGAGGTTTGCCCGTTAAAGGTTAAATGTTTAATTAGGAT